ACCGAAGAGGAGAGAGGACTATGAGGGTCGAGTTGGCGAAGATAGGCTCCTTGATATGTGTTGTGTTGGTTCATGAGTTGGCGCGGATTTGGCTATTTGTCATAGTCGGTTGAGTGACGCAGTTTGATTATTCACTAAGGTTTTTCTTCTACTGATGTTTACTTTTGTTCCAGACCATGCCATCGCAATTGGTACATCATGTCAAAACAGCGGCTGTTCTGTGGTATGTATATTTGCTATTCTGTTTTATAATTTTAATTCTCTTTTTTTGTTAATGCGATTGAAGTAAGGCAAAATACAGCTGAACATTAACTTCTTCAAATCGAGTTTTATTCGATCTGATGCCTTGCCAAAAGCCAAAATAGTAGTCAAATGAAAACACAAAACGTTGAGAACTTCCAAGGAATCACTACCCCTGACGGAATTATGACCCATGATTCATTACGACCCCTTTCAGTTTGCAAGGGATATACATAGCTATGTCGCATACTTATCGTCTATGCTCGAAGTGAAGCTTTCATAAAATTTAATTCTATTAGGTAACGTCTATTTGGTTTGGTTTTTATATCGTCAGCGAAAAAGTTTTGAAATCTTGTTTGAATAAAATGTAACAGATGATTTTAAATATTAATTAGCTGTTTTCAGCCATACGCAGGCCCTCAATCGATGGATGAAATTTGCCAGCACCACAGCGGTGTTCCGGTCTTTCATGAGGGCATGAAATTCTGGTCTTGCTGCCAAAGGAAGACGTCGGATTTTGACAATTTTCTTCAACAGGAAGGTTGCACAAAAGGAAAACACAATTTCATAAAACAGGTGACTTTTTGATGCAAGCCTTTTCGTCTAATTCTTCAAGCTAGTTCATTGTGAACGTGCTTTAAATATTTTTGAATGAAATATTCTTCCTTGCACTAAAATATTCAGAAATATAAATTGATTAACTGACATTAGCTACTTAACTGAATTTATACCCAGTGTTCTAAAATTTTTGCCTTAAGCACAGAAAGTCATTATGTCTTAATTCCAGTTGGCTTTTAGTCACATCTGGTGGTTCATGTATTAACCTTATGCAATCGGTCTACCTATAAACAGATGGTGAATTTGGAATTGATTGAACTTGTCAGTAAATCCTGTGTCTTATAGAATTCGCAGAGATTTTTCTGTTGGTCACAATACTTGCAGCGGTTGGTTTGGTCAAAATGTACGCACTCCGGCAAAACAAAACGGACAGTCGGATGAACCTAATGACAAACTAGGGAATCAGTGAAATGCATATCATGCTGTGGCTTTTTTGTGTGACAGCGGGACATTCGATGGAAAACGTTTAGCCTAAATGTTTGATAAGGCAGTTTATGGGTGAAGCCCTCCTGACAGAGGTATATTCTTTGCAGGAAGAAAAAACAAAGATCAGGGACGGCGGAAACAGCCAGTGTTAAAGAACTGAGAGGAGGGACGAAGCATAGGAATGTCTTTCCTAGTCGCAACGACCTCTCATCAGCCCACTAGTGGTGAATTAGCGAGACTTTAGTTTCCGGCAAAGGAAAGATTAAGACGTTCTGCACTAAGCTCTGAATTAGATGGAGGCAACGTTCCTCCTGCTTATTCTTGAAAATATAATGTTCTCAAGTAGAATCCGGTTTGAGCAAATGGTGGCGATTGGAATGCAGTTTTTTAAATGAAAACGATGATTTTATAGAATTCTTCAGAACCACGTGACCACATTGGAGGAGTGATATTAGTCCAATATGACTGAGCTCCAGTAGACTAAGGGCTGTCTGAACAGTTTTCCAATATATTTGACCGAATGATGTCCTTTTACTCTTGTATGCATCTATTTACTTGCTGAAATAATAATTTAAAGACTGTGTAGCTGCTTTGCAATGCTTCCAGTCCAGGCAAACAATCAGTTAGTAGAACAGGGACAGCGTTGCCTCGCTAAATCTACTTCAGTACCGATGTGGTCTGTTGTCCGGACGATAGAATGCATCGTGGGTCATCATATTCTCTTCTCGTTTCAGACGAATAGAGGTTATGAATTAGCATTCTATCCAGTTTGTAGTTTGAATATCCTTTCCTGGTTTGAGGCTGATTTGCCTCAAAATAAGGAGATCAGTTTGTCC